AAGTCAACATCTGCAAACCTTCCCAAATGCAGACCCAATTTGCCTGTTAACATTTCAGAAAGAACCTTTACCAATGCATAACCTTAAGCTTGTCCAAGGCAGGTCCAATTTGACTCTAAACATTTGTAAAAGACATTTTAGTTTGTCCATGGTGGGGAAACTTGCTTGTTATAATTTCAAAAATACATTTAACCTGTCCATGTCAGGTCCAATGTGTGTTTATTAGTAATTCACAATGTGTGATGTTTCTACCGTGGATACCATCTGGTATATACAGTGAGAAAGCATACAAAGTGATATGTTTCTACCATGGATGCCATCTGGTATATACAGTCAGAAAGCATACAATGTGTGATGTTTCTGCCATGGATGTCATCTGGTATATACAGTGAGAAAGCATACAAGGTGTGATGTTTCTGCCATGGATGTCATCTGGTATATACAGTGAGAAAGCATACAATGTGTGATATTTCTGAAATGGATGTCATCTGGTATATACAGTGAGAAAGCATACAAGGTGTGATGTTTCTGCCATGGATGTCCTCTGGTATATACAGTGAGAAAGCATACAATGTGTGGTGTTTCTACCATGGATGTCATCTGGTATATAGTGAGAAAGCATACAATGTGTGATATTTCTGCCATGGATGTCCTCTGGTATATAGTGAGAAAGCATACAATGTGTGATATTTCTGCCATGGATGTCCTCTGGTATATACAGTGAGAAAGCATACAATGTGTTATGTTTCTACCGTGAATGTCATCTGGTATATAGTGAGAAAGCATACAATGTGATATGTTTCTGCCATGGATGTCCTCTGGTATATACAGTGAGAAAGCATACAAAGTGTGATGTTTCTGCCATTATGTACATATTGTTCTCTTGCCATTTCAATGACTTCAGTTATGACATTATAAATGATATGCTTGATCACTGTCTCTTGAAATAGTAAACATATTAGCATTGCAGTATGAATGAAAATCTGTGGTTAACGTCACTTAAAGGAGTGTACATTGTAGATATTAGAGCACTATGAAACTAAACTTGATGTTCAAGGTCAAATTAGTATAATTTTCAGTTATTTTCCCTGTGTTTAAAACATCAAACTGTTAAAGGTAGCTTTAGGACACTTGAACTAGTCTGTACTGATTATATAAGACTTTTAAACTGTTATCAGGTCATCATGACCTTAAGCTACAGGTTTCTTACTAAAAATAGAATAAACGCAAAATAGTGTATCTAAGAAAAGGTCAAGGTAACAAAGTCTACTCTGAAGGCCAAATTATACGTAATTTAAATAAATATTTTTTCATATGCTAATGCTTATATACATGGATAATGATGGATCTAAATAAATTCTTCAATCTAAATTAACATACATTTCGATAAAAGGAAATTTTCCCCACTTGAATGTTGGGATACACCTGTTAAAGGCTAGAGAAAAGCCTTGTTTGGTTACCTTGTCTGAAATTGTTGAATTGTTTAAATGTTCTCCTGGATATATATCATTTGAAAATGATTGATGCTATGATATTATATCCTTGTATTTATTTACAGTAGAACAAGGACAAAATATGAAAAAGAGAAAGATCAGAAGCCCTTGTGGAAGTATGAGGAGAAAAAGACCCTGTGAACTTTTAAGGGTAAGTTTTTGCCTGTGTCATGAACCAACTTGCATTGTGAACCCATTTCTAAAATCCAAGCAATATTTTCTTCTTATAAGGAGGATCAGAAAAGCTGAAAAAGATCATTTGTTAATGTACTTCTTTTGGGAATCTTTTTCAGGGCTGTACCCCCCCTCCCACCATTACACACAGACACAGACACAGACACCGTCCCAATTTTACCTTTCAGGTTTTGATATCTGCTTCCATGATAATAGAAATTTTCATTCTCGATTATGAGAGATATCTCTTCTATAATGAAATGTTTTACTTCAGATGAATAACTCTTGATAAATGGTATGTTGATATCAATTGTTTGCAGTAATGAATATAGAAACGCTACTATTAATGATAAGTTTACTATTAAGTTGAATTATTCATGGTGATGAAGATAGAATTGGCTGCTTTTCTGGTAAATGTTGTGACAAAATTAATGGTTTAAAATGATCAATCCACAATATTTCACAAAATTGCTGTGATAAATATGATAAAATTGATTGTTTGGAACAATTGTGATGGAGACTGTTGCTTTCTTGGATCCTTTTCATGATGAAGACTGAACTACACCAAGAATTATCTGTTATACAATTGATGAAGATAAAACTTTAGTTTAATTTTATCTACTTGGTCCTGTGCTAGCCTTGGTAATTTCATTCTCTAAGTATATCTAACATTTTTGGTATATGCCATAGCATATCACTTGCGTGTTGATTCCTCAGATAACGTTCTGCCCCTATAATATCTATCCTTTCCCTGGTAAGAAGATAGACAGTGTAGAGGGGTTACCTGTGTTTGGTTGGGGGACTGCAGCCATCACTTTGTGTCTACCTGGACAGGTTAACGAGCTGTTGTTTGTTATGTGGTGAGGAGGTGGGTCAGGTGGAGACATGAGTCCGGTAACAACCCTACATCAGGGCTGTATGATAAATTAATTCACCAGACAAACATTGTGTTTATGGTGACACTGTTAGACAGGGTTGTGTCATTAACCACTTTTTTTACCTGTCAACTGGAGAGTGAGAGACTTGAGGGAATGTAGACCCCACATCGGCACTGGTCCACGCTGATGGTAATGTGATCTGTGATGGCTTGTTAGCCGCTTTATACACTACCTTTACATGATCATTAAAGACAGACCCACAACCAGAAAAAATCTATCGTCTTTAGATAATTTGAATACAAACTGAATTGCTCCCCTGAAATAGTTCAGATGGGGTACTATTAATTGTTAAGTGAAGAAGTCTTGACAGATTAAAGTGTACCTATTGCCTTCCTCTGTTTCTGGTTCTGTTTGGGATACACTTGTATCAAGTACTTCACCTTAATTAAAATCGTTGACTTTTTCCCATTTAGCTTTGAGAGTATTGGCTCACTTTATCTAAAAGACATGATCAAGCCATGATATGGTATATCACTGGACAATTTGAAGAAAATTCAGACAACATTGTTGGGTCAATTTGATTTGTTTAAGTTGGAACTATCAGAGTTGAAAGTAAGAAATGAATCATGGCAAAGTGTAAACAGGTAACAGCATGGTAAAGACAATTTTAGTTATGGGTACATGGACCTTATAATTCTAAAGGATATATTACTTAGTTGAAACTGAAGGGTTATCATGTCTTCAGGAACTGAAGGGAAGGAGCTTACCAGGGCTTGCTAGGCATGAGAGATTAACATAATCATGTTACTGTAGAGACCTTCTTAGTTAAAACTGAAGGGTTTTCATGTCTTAAGGAGCTGAAGGGAAGGAGCTTACCAGGGTTTGCTAGGCTGGAGAGATGAACATAATCATGTTACTGTAGAGACCTACTTAGTTAAAACTGAAGGGTTTTCATGTCTTAAGGAGCTGAAGGGAAGGAGCTTACCAGGGCTTGCTAGGCATGAGAGTTGAACATAATCATGTTACTGTAGAGACCTTCTTAGTTAAAACTGTAGGCTTATCATGTCTCCAGTAGCTGAAGCTATGGAGCTTGTTTGAGACCTACATCATAACCATTTACAAGTGCTTGCTGGGCATGAGGGACGAATATCATCTGATGGTGAAAGCCCTGCTGAGATGAGCAACAGGCATGCAGAACAAGACGTCTTGGCCTCTTATCATGGGAGCTCTGTCGCTATTCTGATCCTTGTCCTTGGAGCTATTGGGTATATTAGTCTTACAGTTTAAGTTACAGGCAGGAAGAGGAGATAATTGATGTACATAAAACACTTGAGTCAACAGAGAGGATAAAACTCCAGAACTGTTACATTGTCACATGTAATATCAACATTAAGTGTTGTATTGAAGGTAAAAATGTCAACTTGTAAAGTTATGTTTATCGTATCAAATTTAGGTCCGAAGTTTGTTTGTGAGGTTTTATATCCAGTGGAATATTAGACAGGCTAATATCATGCTGTAAAATTAACATGAGGACGATAAACTAACTCTTTTCACATGTTGGATTCAGTATATATTATATATATGGTCAGTCGGTCCATTTGATTCTGTTTCTCTAGCAAGATATTGCAAGAGAATTGAATAAACCATTCAAAATTCACATAAAATTAGCATCAAAATGTAACATAAACTGGTCTCTACACTAATTTCTACCACATCTTTGGTGTTATCTGTCATATTTACTACATATTACCATGTAGAGGTGATAATAAAACACAGGCTCTGTTAATCAGGTCTAAGTGGACGAATTTAGACCACCCTCCTTCTACTAACTTAGCCTTACCACAAGTGATAGTTCCTCAGAACACACCTTACTGTATACTGGTTACACTTTTATAGGCGTTTAATTTCTGTTATGGTGTCAATTTTTCCATTTCCTTGGAGTTTTTTAAGTTAAATTCGAAGAATTTATGTACTACATCTTGATTAAGTTGTAATTTAGGGTGATGGAACCGTCTCATAATTAGCTAGTAATGATGTTTGAGTCTTTAGGTAATTACTGCTAAAGTTTGTGATTTAGCCCTAACAACTGGCACTGATTCACTTTAAGACATTGACCTCAAAAAACCGAATAAAATATGTGTGATTGTAGGCAAAATTTTTGATATTATAAATGTTTTGCTTTAGTTATTTGGCATGAAGGTATAGAATTATTTGTATTAAACCAATTAATGTTGACATGGTGATAATTTTTCAAGGTGAGAGGTGAAAGGTCAGAAGTAAATTAAAATTGTGATTGGCTTGATTTTTTAAAGTCATGTTTAAGCATAAATAGTTACTGATGCAAAATAAAAATAGGACAATTCTACTACTGAAAAACTACTGCATACTACTACTAATTGCTGCTTGTGCCTGTTACTACTACTACTATACTACTACTACTACTACTGCTACTACTACTACTACCACTACTACTACCGTTACTGTTACTACTACCACCACCACTACTACTACTACTACTACTACTACTACTACTACTACTACTACTACTACTACTACTACTGCTACCACTACTACTACCACTACTACTACCACTACTACTACTACTGCTACCACTACTTCTACTACTACTACTACCACTACTACTACTACTACTAATACTACTACTACCACTACTACTACCACTTCTACTACTACCACTACCACTACTAACACTACTACTGCTACCACTACTACCACTACCACCACCGCCACCGCTGCTACAGCTACTACCGCCACTACTACCGCTACCACTACTACTGCCACTACTGCCACCACTGCTACTACCGCCACCACCACCACCGCTGCCGCCGCCACCGCCACTGCCACCGCTGCCACCGCTGCTACCGCCACTTCTACCGCTACCACTGCTACCGCCACTACTACCGCTACCATTGCTACCACCATTACTACCGCTACCACTGCTACCGCTACCACTGCTACCGCCACTACTACCGCTACCGCTACTGCTACCACTGCTACTACCACCACCACCACCACCGCCGCCGCCGCCGCCACGGCCACTACCGCCACCGCTACCACTGCTACCGCTACTACCGCTACCACTGCTACCGCCACTACTACCGCTACTACTGCTACCACTACTACCGCCACTACTACCGCTACCACTACTACTGCCACTACTGCTACCACTGCTACTACTGCCACTAATACTACTGCCACTACTACTACTACCACTACCACTGCCACTACTACTACTACCACTACCACTACCACTACCACTACTACTACTACCACGTCTACTACTACTACTGCTACCACTACTACTACTACTACTACTACTACTACTACCACTACTACTACTACTACTACTACTACTACTACTACCACTACCACTACCACTACCACTACTACTACTACTACTACTACTACTATTACTACCACCACTACTACTACTACTACTACTACTACTACTACTACTACTACCACTACTACTACTACTACTACTACTACTACTACTACTACTGCTACTACTACTACTACTACTACTACTACTACTACTACCGATACCACTACCACTACCACTACTACTACTACTACTACTACTACTACCACTACTACTACTACTACTATTACTACCACTACTACTACCACCACTACTACTACTACCACTACCACTACCACTACCACTACTACCACTCCTACCTCTACTACAACTGCCATTACTATTACCACTACTATTTTATCATTAATAGGTCTTTACAGTTAGATTTAACATTATGGTACATTAGGTTTCTTCTTTAACATCTTTTACCACTTTCTGACCCCTTAATCTGCTGATTTTTGAAATTAATGAAAATGGTAAAATTGTGTTTATTAGCCAGTTCTTGTGAAACTGAGTTAGTTTTAGGCAAAAGAATGGACAAAGTCTTGAAAAATAGGAAAAACACATTGAAAAATTTTAATGGTCCATATTTAGTACAAAAAGTACACAAGTTATGATGTCTCACTTTGAAAATTACAAAGAATGCATACTTTTTTAGCTAGCATGTGACCTGAAGGATCGAGGTAGGCTTAAATCATACCATTGAGTGTTGTTGTCTATCAACTGTCATCTATCATCTGTATGTCGACAGTTTCTTAAAATGATTTCTTTTTCTTAAGCACAGAGTGAAATTTAACCTGATTTAACTGAAAGTATACTTTGTTAGGTGGTGGGGATCCAAAAATGTGCAAATGGAGGAGCTGATCTCCCTGAGGGACAGGGCCAAAAGGGCCGAAAGAGTCGAAATTCAGTTTGAGTCAAAATAATTTCCAAGTCCTAATTATTTTTCTGCTTCGTCATTGCAATTCTAGTTCGGATGACACAAATTTCTTGGAGTCATAATTTCGTTTGAGTTGAAGTAATTTTGCAGTACCTTCAATTGTAAAACAAGGGAAAAGTCATTTGTTGTCTCTGAAATAATTATTGTCTTCTGAAGAAATCGGTCAATACCTACACAGAGTGGAAAGTCACCTGGGCATAACACATGGCTAATTGTGTATTGGTCCATTGTACACACAACACTTGGTCTCCGACAATTAATTACCAGTTTAATTATCCATTTAAATGTTGGCTTCTTAATTAGCGTAATTAGTACAACTATCCTGTAACAGTGACTTCAAGTTTCATGTTTTATTACATCTTTAGGCCTTAGGCCCGTCAGTGCATATCACATATACATTACATGATGCAATGAAGAGAAGAAGACTATTGTTATAGACTCTATATATAATTAGGGATTTCACAATTTATTATCTTCATCAATAGAAATACCTAACATACAAAGTTCTTTAACATTGTGGATACTCAGTAATTCAAATAACTTAAAGACTGAAGGTTTTCTCCAATAATATAACTTAATAAAATGAGCTCGAAAGTCTTGGAATTGTCTGCATATTAGTGAAAAATGGAATTCATCCTCAACTTCAGTAACAGAGTAACACTGTTTACAATATCTTTCTGCCCTTGGAATATTTCTTCATCTTCCTGTCTCTATGTCAAAAGAATGACGTGATATACGGGTTCTAGTCAAACATATACAGTATTTAATTGGTATATGTTTACTAACATAAAAACTGCAAAGAAAAAGTTTGATCTACGAAATATTTATACTTAAAACATTTTGGTGAATTTTCCAACGTAGGCATAATTAATTGCTTTGCATGATCAAATATTCTTTGATTAATCTCCAATAAAATTAAATTTGGTTGAGTGACACTATTAGGATTTATCCATACATCACTAAAACCTACATTATCTAATTCTTCCTTAACAGAAGTGACCCCATTGAAAATATTTCTGTTACACAGGTTTAACAGAAAATGATATGATTTGGATACAATACAGCTATCTGAAAATCGTATTTTAAACCAGTAATTGCGCTTTCTATATTTTCTCAAAAATTCCGAAGGAAACCATCCCAATTCAGAATAAACCATACTGCTACACACTGACATCTTTACATTTAACAGTTTTTTTCTGAAAGCACATGTTCTACATCAGACCCTTTATATGAACCCCATATTTTGCCTGCATGATAAAGAATACTACAATGAAATAAACCATAATTCTAGTTTTATCTAGGTTTACAGGTAAGATTCCATTTAATTGAAATTGACATCTAGATTATCAAGCAGGTCTTGAAGACCTTCCACAGATTCAGAAACAAGGCCGTTGTCATACAACAGTAGATATAAGTTTAATTCTTTGAATAAAAAAATGATTCAAAATCATTAATGTATAGAGAAAAAAATAACCTAAATAATATTTCACCCTCCGATTGGCCGACTTACCTGTATGTTTAACAAGTAATGTGTTTATACAAGACGTGAAAACATTTTGGTTTTTTGCATCTTTAGGAATGATAAAAATGAAACCTTCAAACCAAAACAAACATTTTGATGAAATCTGATAACCATGACTCAGAAACAAATTTTTGTGCTTGTTTACTAAAGGACTGTGGCTGGGTACTTTGCTAGATTTAGTGCTTGGACAGTAAAGTGATGAAAGTAGTTTTCATTGATAGAGTCTATATCTATACATGATTTATTAAGTCTTGTACCTGTGTAATGTTTTCTATAACAGGTAAAAAAACTATCCAGTGCCGCTTTTTCCATATGTTTATTCAATCATTGTAAAGTCAGTCATGTTAATATGATCTGTAGATTTATACATCATTTCTAGTTGCATATCAAAATAAAATTTTAGTTTCATTTTAGTGACTTATATCCTTGTAATTTTGAGTTTCTACTGAGCATAACATGTCATCTGTTGTCTGTCACCATTTTTCCTTAAAGTTACTATTAGTCATAAATTTTGGAAATTTAACAAGTATTTTAAAACCCTTCTTCTGTAGGAGTGATTGGATTTTGTCTAAATTTGGTCAAAGTATTGTTAGGGGAAAGGGATACAATTTTATACCACGGTGTGTTGTCCGTCATGGATCTGTCTGACATTTGTCCGTCTGGTGTCAACTTTTCCATTTAAAGGAATTCTTCAAAAAAACCAGCAGACCAAAATGTCTTGTTATTTGGCAGGTTGGTTGCTGGGATGAAGTCTGATAACCCTTATTCGAGGTCACAGGGGTCAAATTTGTGACTAAAAGTAAGGTTAAGAATTTTGTGTTTTCCTGATAGGTTCCTAGAATGAAGCCACACAAAGTTTGCAAAAGAAAAAAATGACCTTGACCCTGTTTCAAGGTTACAGTTGTCCAACTAGTTAAAATCTTAAGTAACTTCCCATGTCTAACCAAAAGGGGCAAGATCATGGTATTTGGCTGATTGGTTCTTAAGATGATGACTTACAACATTTGTTAAAAGAAATAACCTTGGCCTAAATTGAAGGTCACAGGGATCAAATTTTGTCAAATCTGTAAAAGATTTCTTGTGGTTAACCAAAAGTCTGAGAAGTATGGTATTTGATGGAAAGGTGTTTCTAAGTCAAAGCGCAACAAATTTTGAGAAAAAAAATATATACTTAAAGATTCAGGTCATAACTGAGTAGCCCAAAAGGGGTAATACACCAAATTCTTTAAAATTCTTCTTCTTCTTTAGAAATGCTTGGATTCTCTCCAAATTTTGGCAGGAAGAATCCTTTGGTGGATTGGAATCAATTTTCTGTAATCAGCAGGTCTCTTCTTCTTTAAGAATGCCTTGATGTTGTCCCAACTTGGTTTGAAGCAACAATGGGAAAGAGGAAATCAATTTTGTATGAATGGCTAGGAAACAGAGAATTTACATTGAAATCCTTTTTCTGTTTGGATGAAGATATTTTAACCAAATTTGTTGAGGAGCATTCTAATGGGTGAAGGGGTACCTGTTTGGTATTAGTGATGAGTCTTGATCCCCTGGCACCTGAGCGGCCAGGCCTAAAGGGGAATATATAGCAATTTTTTGTTAAAATATATGGATATACATATGAAGAATCCTCTAAATTTAATTTGGTTTAAGCATTACCTAACAAATAAAACCAGGTAAGCAATACAGACCCTGTGGGCCTCTTGTACTAAAAGAAAAAGTACAAATCCGACTGTACTAAAAACAACATTAAAGTGTACTATGGTGTGCATTTTATTGGTATAGGTCCATATGAGACACTTCATTGATATAAATATATGGTCTTGTCTTGTGGGTATTAATATGTTTTGGTTATTGTTTGAAAAAAAAATCATTTTTTTCCTAATGGTTAGTCTCAAAATCAGAATTTTAACGTCATTCAATTAGCACTATCGGGTAGCTGTGAAGCTGACATGTCTAGGGACTAAGGTCTTTAGTCAGAGGTATAGGGTAACAGTTGGGCAGCCGAGTGTAAAATTGGGGCTAAGGTGTCGGGATCTGTTGAGTGGTATGATTTATGAGCTTAAAAAGTTACAGTAACACTTAAACAGACTCTTATAGGGGCATAAGGTAAAGACAGGACACCAATAACTTGCACTATTTTTCTACAACTTTCTGTATCCAGTCTGTACAGTAACACAGGGTTATGTTGATAGCTGAAAGTAAGTATACTGTTTGTGTAATAGTTTCCAATGGTTTCACTTAATAGTCTTTTGTTTGTGTAATAGTTTCTCAATGGTTTCACTAAATTGTCTTTTGTTGGTGTAATAGATTCTCAATGGTTACACTAAATAGTCTTTTGCTGGTGTAATAGTATCTCAATGGTTACACTAAATGGTCTTTTGCTGGCGTAATAGTTTCTCA